AAAATGAAAAATGATCGGCAAATGATCGGCAAAATGATCTGCAAAATGTGATAAAATTAAGCATGACCGCTATGCTAATTACCGCCCAGTAATTTCTTTCCCGAACAGAAATAAATTTTCTCACTTCGGAACGTAACACTATTTTTTGTCCGAGTTTAATAACCATATAAAAGCGCTATATCTGTCTCTGAAACAAATACACCAGCTTTTACTTCCACATCTGTTACAGCAACTGGAAATCGACATAGTTGCATAAAGTAAGCAATTAGGGCGTCCGTTTTATTTATTTCTTTATTGACCACAATAAGCGGAAATACTTATAAATTCATTCAAAAATAGGTATTTGCTGAATAGAATCAAGTAAAAGCAATTTATTAAGCAGAAAAATAAATAAGGTCATTGGCAGAAAAAGCATGAAAGAAAAAGTTTTTAAAAAATGAGGAAGAAAAGACGCAGGAATAATAAAAATTATTGAAGAGGAATTTTCTTTACAAAACGAAATTTATTCCTGATTTGGTTTGTTGCGTTTGCTTTCTAATTCTGTATTCGTTGCAATTTCGTGGAATTTTCTTTTTGGTGGTACAATCTCATTTTTCAAAAACCTTCGCGCAATTTCTTTTTTCAACTTTTCTCTCTCCATATATACTTCTTCGTAATTGCCCCCTGATGTTAAAACAGAGAAAAAAATAATATATTTCACGTTCCTATTTGTGGTAGATTATTTAACAAACTACTTACCGAGACATTGAACTACTTTGCACGACAGAAGAGATACATTTAAGAGTTATATATCGTTCCATCGACCCTTTTCTCCTGCAACTCCATGTGCCATCTTGTTTCGGACACTTTTTTTATAGTCCATGAAAACTTCGAGGGGATTTTCATTATAAAATGCTGATTTGTTCATAAAGATAATTAGATTCTCAGTGATGAAATTGATCATAGTGAGGGTATCAGCGTTCTCGAAGTCAGTTTTGATTTTCGGGCGTTGCTTTTTCGAAAAGGTTTCCACAATTTTAGCAGGGATTATGCCTGCGTGGTCGTAAAGGAACGTATAGAGTTCAAGCTCTATTAGAGTGTAAAATGTTTCCACGATGGCTCCCTGTTCGTTGGCCGAGAATGAAAATTCCTCCACTGGTGGAGGATTTTCTCTATTTGCAATGGCGGATGATCTATCATATCTTTTTTTATTAAATTTCGCGGTTGGACTTAGCCATTTGTGTACTTGGATATTTGCCGTGGTTTTCTCACGGAATGATTGGTCTCTATCTAACACGTCACGAAGTGACTCACGTATTGATTTTTTGTTTGCTCTCAGCGGACAAATACTGTGTAACGATTCCACAGTAGAATCGAGGGAGTCTTTAATATTTTCGTCAATTACTCCGGATTTTATCCAAGTAGAAATTTTCATTATAAAAATTAAAAAAATTAGAAAAAACTAAAGTCTCAATATTATTCAAATAATCATGATATTTAAATCGGATCGTTTTATTTAAAGTCGCGAAACACGTCCGTCGCGTCAAATTAGTCAAATTATTAAGTCATAACTCACAAGCTATGAGATCATTAATGTATATCACGTGATCTATATGATCTATAAAAGCCCTTAATTTTTTTTTTTGTAACTGTCAAGGCTGGCTCTCTGAAAGTTGCACTCATCGTTGTGTGTAATCGTAAGAGTTTGATGTTTTCGAGAGGTGTGAAGCGTACTCCGAAAAACAGGATTCTTTCAAGCTTCTTTGAATTGCACCTGTATATAAGGTCTACTGATTTTGGAGGAAAATTCGGTTACGTACCTTCCTTATAACAGTCAAAGAAAGATTGAATTGAACCTGTTCGTAAGACTGACACTTTAATGTCACTTGGGATCATCAGATTCACTGGCCTTCGAAGTAATAATTATCATGCTTGAAACGCTCTGATAGGTCAGTGCATTTTTATGTCGGTAAAAAATAAAATTCCTTTTCATTAATACCAGAACTTTACTTTTTTTATCCGAGCCTAAACAAAAATAATTAGATACGTTCTCCCATTACCATGCAACGGAAGAAAAAAAAATTGCTTAGAAGTGGTTCGGAAATATAAAAATATAATAAGAAAAGGTTGAGGTCGTTCTCCTTGTACAAGACTAAGAAAGGTTTATGAATAGATGATAATGATGCGGGTATCATTTAACAATTTTTTCATTAACTCTGTTCAACTTTCTAGGTGATCTACAAACTCGAAGACTATGAATTAAAATTAGAAAATATATAAGGGAAATAAAGCGCGGATTGGAAATATGGAGACTATACTTGCCGATGGCATACATTTCGGCCGTTCGCTATATATCGTCAAAAGATTACCTCTTCAACTTAAAGTTGATGCGAAGAGAATATTGGTCGAGTTGATTACGATCAAGGCCTTTGAGGAACTTGCATTACGGAAAGGAAGCTTCATCAAGTGCCCATGGGCTTTGCTCAGAATTTAGTCCAATGCGAGAGCGCTCTACAAGTTAATAAAAAGAATAGGAAACGTAAGTCAGGCGAAGCGTTCGGGGAAGATTTCGGTTATATCTACGGTATCGTTACAACAGCCTCGGATTGGTATTTTATTCTTTCGCCTCGGATGGAATACCAAGCACGAGCAAGGATCCTATCAATATTCGATTTTCAGATTCTGCTTTGAAAGAAGGATCGGAGGAAGAAAAAGATTGCGTAAAAATGTGAAGGGAGTTATGGAGGTCGTCGTTGGCTTGTTAAAGGATAGGTTGGAGTGTGTGGATGAAAAACCGGATAGGAAGAGGGCTAGAATAGAGGAATATCGTTCGCATGTATAATAATAGCATAGCCTTCATGTATCACGAGCAAAGTCCCGATCTTTGTATTTATTTTTGCATGTAATAATAAAAAATTTTTCTTAGCAAATTTCAGCCGGGGCGCCCCGGCCAAAAACACATATTTTTTTATTTTGAATGCTTATATACATTGTATTAGTTATATATAGATCATGTCATCCGAGCTTGAATCATTGAAACAGCGTATCACTGAACTTGAGGCTGAGAATACAGAGCTTAGGAAGGAGAATACTGAGATCCCCTATCTTAGAAACAAGCTCTCAGTGTCTGATGCTGAAATAGCTGAACTTAAGCGCAGGAATGCCGAGGTTCTAAGAGCGAATGGGGAAT